CGTCCTCAGTCCCTGCAGCCCTCAGCCCTTGGGGTGGCCTTCTGGCTTGCACCCAGGGCAAGCTGGCACCTGAGGAATGTATAGGATGCGTTTAGCTCTTTTAGTTACTATTATCTCACTGATGTTTGTGCTGAGGGCAGGGAAAGTCTGATATATTTCTTTCCCCCTCCTCCCCAGGTGAACATAATGTGTTTTTAGACCACAGCAGGAAGCTGGACAAGGGGCATCTGAGGTGATAACCACATCTTTTAAAATCACTTATGAGTTAAATTTTTAGGCATTTCCCCATTTTCTTTGGGAAATTAATCTAAAATGCTTGCTTTGATATTTTGGAAATAATAACTCAGAATTCTATGCATTTTAAGCTATGAAAAATAGAAAGCATCTCTGAAGATTCCTGGAGAGACAGACCTGGTGTCTATGGACATTATATTCTGAAGACTCTCCAGCCATGCATTTTGTTGTTGATTTCCTGTCAACTGTTAAGACTGGGATTTCAAGATGAATTTTGAATCACAGCAGCACTGTCATTGCCATGTAAATGAAGCAAAAAATCTTTTCTGTGTGCTATTGAATAGTCATGTGTTGTACACCAAGAAAAAGCCTGAATTGAAAGCAAGCTCAAGAGTGATTAGACTGTTAATGTAGCTCTTATTATTTTGCAGCATGTCAAAATTATTCTGTGTTCTTCATTAGATTTCTTCATTAGATATAGCCTTGTAACACTAGATCTCTAAAACTGCAGGCTGCATATATCATTGTAAAGCTATAACCAAAAGGGGATTTGTCTTATCAGTAGAGACATCTGCAAGCTGAAATTCATAATATTGCAGCGAACCTGTTTCAAGTTTCTCCCTACCAAACTCTTTTTCTTTACAAATTAGTGCTGAGTGAAAGTTACCCTTTTCTCAATATTTGATTCATTGATTTTTGCTTTGCATTCTACTTATTCATCTAAATTTTAATTTTTTTTACATTGTTTTTGAAAATCACATTTTTGGTATACGTGGCACAGATCTGCCAAAAGGGCTGGATGCTGAGGAATTATCAAAAGTGCTCCTGTGTATGTGAATCACTGTGTAGGTTCTAAATGCAAGTTTTATCCACTAGACAGTAACAATGTGTGTAATGATGAATCTACAGCTGATATCTCATTCTGGATCCCAATCTTTCATCTATGGGTTTTTCACAGCCTACAAACTGAAGTAATCTTATGGCCACTGTATGCTCTGGAAAGAGCATAAGGGCTTGGATTGCTGATAATTTAATAAAAGATTTAATAAAATATTGTCATTTAAGAACATATCTAGAAGCCCAGAAAAAAAAGTTCAACCTGAACCACAGTATTATGTGGACTGGGTATTCTACAGTCTCTCTTGTTTTGCAAACAAAAAAAATAGCCATATTTTCTTCCTGGCATTCAAAAATATTCCAGAGTCTTGTGGTCAGAGAGTTCTGTATAGTTATGCTCATCTCATACATCAAATTTAGAAAGAACAAATAGAAGACAAAGTAAACAAATGTGTCAGAGCATTAAAGTTTGCCACATTTGAGACTTAACAATGCTTATTCAAGATACTAGAAAAGGAGCTGAAATTTTGCATACACTATTTGTGATTGACAAGATACTGATGGTTTTCATTTACTGTCCAGAAGTAATAGTGGACACATCGTTAATACAATGCATTTTTAATAGTTTTCCTGTATTTCTTGCATCTCTCTATTTGTGTATATAGGAGCCCAACTCACTGAGCAATAAGGAATCCTTTTTTTACTCTTTAATAACTATCCATACAGTTAAGTAATATTTAAATATTTTAAAGCCTGTAATATATATAATAGGCTTGTAAAAACATATATTTTAGGGTACTTAGCTCTTGGAGTAAGCCATTTTGCTGTATTTCTTTTTATACATGTTCAGTAATTGCCAGCATAGCACTTCTGACAATATTCTGACCACATTGTAAAAGCTATTTAGTTAATTTTGTTTCATTAAAGCATTAAGACTTGGATTTTTTACTGTAGTGTTTTGTATTTTCTCTTTGGCTAGATTCCTTATTTTTATGTAAAATGTCCTATATTTTATAATTGTGACTATCACCGTTACTTGCTTTTCCAGTCAGAGACAGTTCCTGTTGCTGTTCTTTTTTTGTCTTCAAAAATATGAAATGATTCGGTGAGGTACCAGATGTCTCTGCTCTAAGAAAACAGTCCCCAAACAGACCTAATTCTGTCTGTCACTTTGGCAAATGATCTCAGTTCACCAGTCATCCATTTGCTGAATTTGTCAAACTAATTCTTGCGCTCTCTCTTGTCTTCCAATATCTTTCTAGGCCATATGCTTAAATGTTTCTTTAAAAAAAATGTATACTAATTCTAATTTTTTATTTGATTTAGCACTACAGGCATTTGTCAGTCTCACACCATAGACAGTATTAGTTTTTTTAGAGACAGCATGCAGAGAAAAAAATGGGTCTATGCATTTTACTCTGTCCATGGGTGGGCAGCAACTCTTTTCTCTTGGCTTCATGAGGATGATACCTCTGGAAGGTTGATCTACTTGGCTGATGTTCTTCCACATTATCTCTTACTGCATACTATGCCTTAAAGGAACAATTTAGTGGTTTGCCTTTTTTTTTTTTTAACTTCTGTATTTTGCCTTTTAAAATCTGCTTCCAAAACTAAATAGCTAGCAATTTTTAACCTGTTCTGCAGAAAGTCAGCTGGCATTGAATGCTAAGTGGCAAAAGGACAAAATCAAAATTTCCCAAATTATTTGAAAATGTTCTAAGAGCTGCTGCTAGGGCAGTTCTTTATAGATTTTATCCAGAAGCCTGAGAAGATACTTTGTTGCATCCTCAAGCAAATAAGCAGTGGTAGAGCCTGTAAACCTTTTGCTTAAAGCAAGGAGGAAATAATTATTTCATTGTGTCATCATTAGACGGCTTTATCATGTTTTTCTTGGAAGCTCATGATTGCATAATGACAAGTGCACAGTATTATTTGCATTATACCATAACAGGACATGGTACTTTAACACACACAAAACATGTAAAACAAACCACAAAAATCTCAGTGTCTAACACAGGGCAGTCCAAAGGCACATTAAGTTTAAAAATGAGTCATGGTTTGTAAATTTTCACA